GGTGGGGACAGGTCTGTCACTGTATAACACTGGGGTACAGTATTGGTGGGGACAGGTCTGTCACTGTATAACACTGGGGTACAGTACTGGTGGGGCCAGGTCATACAGTCCCTTCGTTCCAAATCGCCCAAGTTTCCCAAACTAAACTAGTCCCATGGGCCATATCCCTCCAAACCTTTCCTATTCATGTGTTTGTCCAAATGTGTTTTAATTGTTGTAACTGTACTTGCATCTACCACTTCCTCTGGCAACTCGTTCCACATACAAAACCACCGTGTGAAAAAGTTGCCCCTCAGGTCCCTTTTAAATCTTTCAACTCTCGTTTTGAACCTATACCGTTTAGTTTTCAACCCAAGGGAAAAGACCTTTACCCTTCACCTTATCTATACCACTCATGATTTTTTAGACCACTAAGGTCACCCCTCAACCTCCTACACTCCAGTGAAATAAGTCCTAGCCTCTCCTTATAACTTAAACTCTCCAATTTTGGTAATGTCCTTGTAAATCTTTGCTGCATCCTCTCCAATTTAATAACATCCTTGCTGTAGGAGGGCAACCAAAAATAGAGACAGTACTTCAAAAGCGTCCTCATCAATATCTTGTACAACTGCAACATGACAACCCAACTCCTATACTCAATGGTCTTAGCAATGAAGGCCAAGATGCTGAACACCTGCTAAACCTCCCGGCCTGGTCTGTTATTGTATTACACTGGGCTCTGTCCTCGATACTCATAATGGGTGGCAGGTAGGGAGCTGGGCATACCTGGCTGTGCCCAGTGCAGGTGATGATCGTGTCCGAGGCGGGTATGAACTGAATGTCTCTCACCCAAATCGGGACCCTCAAATCCAGCCAGTCGTTACGGACCTTCAACAAAAAAGAACAAATTAATCAGGAGTTGAGAACGGAAGCCACGACCAGGAGGAGAAACTGAAATCGTCGGTGACACAGCAAAGGTGGAAAACACAGTTTTGTCTCGACCCTGTGCGTTGAAGCTTTGCAAACTGGTTCCTTTGGTATGAGGATAATATCGATCCATCATTCCCAACGGCACTATCCACAGACTGTAAGTGGTTCAACATCACCTTGACAAGGGTAATTAGGGACGGGCAATAAATGTTCAGTTTAGCCCTCAGGCCACAAAAGAACGAAGAACGGTTTGAGAGCAGGGGTGGGGATCGAACTGACAGCTACTCAGTGGAAGGTCAATGCAATGTGATCAGAAAGATCGCTCAGTGGATTGGAGATCACATAATCGAGAGCTACAGGAAGCAGATATGGACAGGGAGACTCAGGGAGAGATAGAATGAGCAGGAGATAGACGGGGAGATATGAAGAGGGAGGGAGTGAGGGGAGATGGAGAGAAGGGGGAGCTGGGGAGCAGGTGAGGCGGAGAGAGGGGGAGATGGAGAGGTGGTGGGTGAGGGGGGGGAAAGAGGGAGAGAGAGAGAGAGAGAGAGACATGGGGGAAAGGGGAGGAGAGAAAGAAGACAGAGAGACGGCAGGGGGCAGGTGTAAAGAGGATATCACATCCCCCATTCACACAACTTACATTCCTTGCCTTGAACACAGGCTCCTGCAGCCTCTGCAGGTCCCACACTTTCAGGTCGTTCTCCTTCCCTCCGGTTGCCACACGCTCTGGCCTCCCGGGGTCTTGACGCATTCGACACACCCCACGGCCCACCTGTACCTGCCCGGAGGGAACAGTCATTAGGGTTACACGTGGTCACTGCAGGAAGAGTATTGACATAACACTGCTGCGAGTTATCATATCAAAAGCCCTGCCCTGGATCAGTCAAGTCGAGATGGGAAATGCCTCCTACCTGATCGGTTGAATCCTCTTTCCACACCTTGAGGAGGCCAGACTCGGTACAGGTGATGAGGGAGCTGTGGGTGGGGAAGACAGCGAGAGAGAGTGTAACTGGTGCCTCACTTGCCTTTCACAGACTGATCTAACTGGAATCCCCACCTTCGCTTCCCCGCCGACCCAAACACAAAGCCCCAGATTGTATCCCCTTTACACACAGCCCCTCCACAGAAAGGGGGTGTGTGTGTGTGTATGTGTGTGTGAGAGAGAGAGTGTGCGTTGGGCTCTGAGCGTCTATATGTGTGTGCACAAGAATGCATGCATGTGCTTCAGTCTGCATGGACACAAATGTGCTTCTGGGTATGCACATGTGTCTGTGCACACACACAGGTGTAAGAATGTGACAGTTTGTGTATATGCATCATGGGCGCATACTCATTTGAGAGGTGTCTTACATTCACACGTGGGATGTGGTTGCTCTCTGGTCCAGCATTTATCGCCCCTTGAGGTGGTGGTGGGGAGCTGCCTTCTTGAACCACTGCAGTCCGTGTGCTGTAGGTAGACCCACAATGTCCCTTAGGGAGGGAATTTCAGGATTGTGACTCAGTGACACTGAAGGAACGGCCGATATATTTCCAAGTTGGGATGGGGAGTGGCTCGGAGGGGAATTTGCAGGGGGTGGTGTTCTCATGTATCTGCTGCCCCTTGTCCTTCTAGATGGAAGTGGTGGTGGGTTTGGAAGGTGCTGTCTAAGGAGCCTCGGTGAGTTGCTGCAGTGCATCTTGTAGATGGTACACACTGCTGCGACTGAGCGTCAGCGGTAGACGGAGTGAATGTTTGCGGATGTGGTGCCAATCAAGCAGGGGCTGCTTTGTCCTGGATGGTGTCGAGCTTCCCCCAGGGGCAAGTGGGGAGTATTCCCTCACACTCCTGACTTGTGCCTTGTAGATGGTGGACAGGCTTTGGGGAGTCAGGAGGTGAGTTGCGAGTTACTCACTGCAGTATTCCCAGCCTCTGCCTTGCTCTTGTAGACGCTGTGTTTATGTGGTGTGTCCAATACAGTTGCTGAACGTGTATGTAACAATCATACAGGGCATAATCAGCCCACCCCAAGCTGAGGTCTCCTAAAGGAAATGGATGCTTGCACTGGACACAGTTCAGAAAGGGTGAAGGGGATGTTTTATGGAGGATGATTCAAGCAGGTACGGCTGACCCTCGATCGAGTGTAGGAATCCGAGAGGTGACTGAAGCAGAACACACAGGACTGGAGGGTTTGAGTTGTAAGAGGCTGAGGAGGCTGGGACTCTCTAGGAGGTTGAGGGGTGACCTTATGGAGGTTTAGAAAATGAGAGATATAGATAAGGTGAATAACAAAAGTTCAAAACTAGGAGAAATATTTTCAAGGTGAGAGGAGAAAGATTTAAAAGGGACGGGAGGGTCAACTTTTTCACACAGAAGGTCGTTCATGTGTGGAATGAACTGCCAGGGGAAATGGTAGATGCAGGTAGAATTACAACATTCCAAAGACATTTGGACAGGTACATGAATTGGAAAGGTTTAGAGGGATATGGGCCAAACGCAGGCAAATGGGACTAGTTTAGTTTGGGAAACTTGGTTGGCACAGATGAGTTGGACCAAAGGGTCTGTTACTGTGGTGTATGACTCTATGCCATGTTTTTGAGTGGGCCTGTCAAATAACGTGCTGAGAGGACCTCGAGAGGGAACACAGAATTATTTTTTATTCATTCATGGGCTGTGTATGTCATTAGCCAGGCCAGTATTTATTTGCCTTCCCTAATTGACCAGAGGGCAATCTGGGTGAGGGGAGCACGGTTTCAGAATAATAGCTCTTCAACCGAAGACACAGAGGAGGTGAAATGTCATCTTACACGAACGTTGGCCTCCCCTGGACAGCAAAGGAGGGTACATCATCGATATGCTCACAACCAAGTGCAACACTTTGTTAACGGATGAAGGGGTTATGGGACACCAATGGCACAGTGGGCTTGAGGAACCAAGCAGGTAAACCCAGCTCCCCATGTGTACGGTCCATGTACTCACCTGTTGTAGGCAGCCAGGCCCCGAAAAGGCCCTTCTCCACCCGAACAGTCGTGGAACTCTGTGAACTCTCCTCGCTCGGTGCTGAATACCTTTACTGTCCCATCCACGCAGCCCAGCAGCACCTAACAGACGGAGCGTGGGAGAAGTGGTGGAAAAGGGCAACAAGATGAGTGTCTGTGCCATTCCTAACACAGCAAGAGACACACGCAGCTCACATGCACTGTAGCTGTGGCAGCAGCGAAGCTCATCTTGGAGAAGGCCCTGAAATGGTTCAAAGGCTGCACTGTCAGAGGGGAGGGTCGGCACCAAGGGAGGGCCATGCTGTCACAGGGGAGGGTCGGCGCCGCGCCGTCGGAGGGTCAGTGCTGAAGGAGCGGGGGATGTGTGGGGTTTGGGTGGGGGATGACCAGGTTGGGGGATGACCTGGGGTGGGGGGGTTGACCGTGGGGGGGGGGGATGGCTGGGGGGGGGAGGTGGTGGGGACCAGGTGGGGGGGGGCGGGG